ATAGATTTATTTAGTTTTATGCTTGTTAAATAGTTTTAAAATAGTTAAAAGTGTGTAAAAATAGAAAGAGTATGAAATTTTTACTACAGTTAAAGCATACAATAATTAGACCACCATAAAAATTTCACCAAAATTGGAATATAGAAACTGCAACTATAAATTAATTACAGAAAATCATAGATCTAAAGTTATAGCAAAAACTTTATACTAAAGCATATCATATTATATATTTACTATGTGGATCTACTCACGTGGAGTCCAACAAAATTAGATTTTCCATTTTTTGATTTTATGATTTACTATGATTTTTCAAATATTCAGCCAAAATAAATAAAAAAGAAAAAATCAAAACCACCTTTGAAAACCACCTATAACCGGGTCAGAGAGGTAAAATGAACGGTTTTAAAAGTTGAGGGAGATGGTTTACCCGACTTTCGAGTTCAGGAGAAAAACTAAAATTCGAGGATAGTTCAGGGAGGTAAAATGGACTTTTTCCTAATTCTTATACATCTCACACGACATTTGAATTCATACATCTTTTAGAATCACCATGGTCTTAGATATAAATATCTCAACATTTGCATTTAAAGATGTTAAGGCACATATAAATGCACATATTGTTGACAAATTGTAAAATTAGGATTCACAAATTGTTGAATCAAGGTTAGAAAAATGTTAAATTAGGATTCACAAATTATTGAATCAAGCTTAGAAAAATGTTAAATTAGGATTCAGAAAAGTGTTAAATGAAGCTTAGAAAAATGTTAAGGCACATATAAATGCAAAAATCATAATTCAATATAGACTATTAGTTATAGAGATTGGAAAAAAGAACAAAGTGAAAAAGAAAAATAGCTTACAACTATATGTGTGTTGTGACCCCCTATTGGTGGGATATAATAATTGGGCCAAGTGGACTATGTAATATTTAATCTTGTTTCTTCTACAAGATTGATAAGAGAGTAAAAAAACAAAATCTTCAAACCACAAATGAGTTTGAAAATGTTGGAATTGCATGAACCTTGATTCATTAGAAGAACTATTGCTCGTTTAGAAATTTTACTTGCTATCTAGAATATTTAGAATTGAATTTTTTCCATTCCTATCAACAAGGATTAGCATGATGCTAAAATCCCTCTAGAATGGTCTGACTTTTTAATAGTTCTCCTTTCTCCGACTCACTTTGGTTGAGCAAGAAAGACTTGGCAGGTCCTGTCCTCTTCCTCTTTGCAATCTCAAAACATGCTATATAAATTGCCTTCCAAGTGCTAAGAGCTCCCACAGAGTAGTTGCTCTTTCAAGCTTAAAGATTTGATAAATTATGCTCACCTTGAAGAATTTCTGTACACCAATCACTCCATAGCATCAATTTCCCTAGCCCCTATAGTAAGATCAGTGCAAATAGCAAAAAAGAGAAGAATCTTCGTTGCTATTGCTATGCTATCGTGGACTCCTAAAAGCATCTAAGTTCCTAATTTAGGTTTTGGTAATTTAATTATGATGACGTTTGTGGACTAACATTTTCATGAGATTTGAAAGGTGAATGTTGGCCACAAGGAGAAATTGAGCTACATCGAATATCATGGTGCACAAAGTTGGCAGACATGATGGTTAGCTCAAGGCAAATGTAAGATTTTGTTTTAACCAGTCATGAGGTGATTAGAGGATGAGAAATGACCGGACTGATAGGCTAGATAGCCATACTATCAAGAGGGGTTAATGATCTTTACTTGACGGTTATCTAGTGTTGTGTTCGTCAATCATGCATGATAGTATGGCCCCTTGAACTTGACGGTTCTCTAGAATGAGTGACAGTCGTCTAGTGCAAAATGAAATGCTCCCTTGAAGTATTTTTCATGCATACCGTGGATGGCCCAGACTATTATTGCAGTGGACTGTATATCCATAGGAGGTCCTTGTGATAGTATGGGCCCTGGATACTCCCACTACAAGGGAAAATGCCCTGATACCCCGGCCTATGTGTGATATGTTGATCACTAGTCGGACATAGATCCTACTACAGTCCTTTTCAAGAGGAGTCCAGAAAGAGTTTGTGTTCTCTAACTTAATTGAATAATGAACGAAAATGATTATAACTCTTTAAATTAAACTTTAAACATATTATGGAAATCAAATATACAAGGAGTTTGCACTCTCTAACTCAATTTTTGTTTCTACATTTACTTTGCATTTCTCAATGTTTGCTTATCTTTTCTAGTTTGCTTGCTAGGTTAGTTGGTAGGATTGGAACCTAGGTGTAAAACTTGTTTTGTGTTAGACATAACAATACTTAGAAATATTTAGTGCACATCTAGATAGAATTTGTATAGGTTTTTTATAAGTAGTTCTCGGGCCTTAGTTTTTAAGTGACATAATGCACCCCTTCACTCGCTCTAAGCACGTAAATAGAGTAAAGATATGGGTCATCCCCACCTTACCATCCATTCTGTTAGACAATTGCCTATGGATTTTATTGGATTTTGAGACAATCAGGAGATGGACCATTCTAAAATTGAACATCCGGAATTGTGGCATTTGGATCTGTTGACAGGCTTTGATCGAGCAACTGGTAAAGGTATATTTCTTGTCTTAAGCGTCACGACCCCTTTAGCATACATAAACACAACTTGTTTTTTCTTATTACAATGTCTTAGATAAATATTGAATAATGAAAAAAATGATTACAATCTTTTAAATCATAATAGCGTATTATAGAAAACAAATATACACAACTAGATTCAGGTTCTTTGCCGAGTGCCTGAGGCACTCGACAAAGGCCAAATTGCACTCGGCAAAGAACACACGGCAAAAAATTGATCGGCAAAGACCTCTTTAACTAAAGTGTCTTTATCGGGCACTCGGCAAAGAAAAGCACCACGACGGGAAGCCGGTATATATTAACATAATAATTAACAGAGTGCCAACATCAGTAGCACTCATAACGATTTTTATTTTTTTAAAAAATTTTTACCCTATTATTGCCAAAACAGAGGCACGGGCAATAATATTTTGTTACCCATGGAGGTTCTTTGAAGATCAGAGCCATCCCCTTTTGGGCACAAGGCAAAGATTTTTTTTTTTGTGAATTTCTTTGCCGAGAGTGCCAACCCTTGAACTTCGGCAAAGATTTTTTATTCTCGGCAAAGATTTTTATTTTTATTTTTATGCAAAATTTCTTGCCGAGTGCCAACCCGGAGAAAGACAGCACTTCGTGGCGGCAAAGATTTTTTTATTTTTTAAAATTTTTTCTCGGCGAGTGCCCTCGCCGCTGGCGACCTTTTCGGCAAAGTTTGAATTTTTTAAATTTTTTTTTAATTTTTTTAAAAATTATATGCATTTTATGTCATATAAATCGTACTGTTGGGAGTAGCTTATGATCTGCATTTTTTAAAACCACAAACCTAACATGCTGCTCTAAACATACTAGAAACTTTTGCATGCTTCGTCGGCACCCTACCAGATCGGCGGGTAGAGCCCAGTTTTTTTGCAGAACCATGTGAATGAATCCAGCTATATGCACGGCAACATTCTTTAAAAGATAAGTTTCAGTATCATTATTCCTAAACATTTATATCAACTACTTTAAGCATTGAATCCCAAAGATTACTGGAAATATTGATTATTTAGCTGGTGCTGGGTAAATTAACCAAACAAACAAACAAATTGACTACTGGAATGTATCTCCTCTTTGGCAACTAACCAAACAAATTGTATGTCCACAATACACTTGATAAATGTAAACAATTGGTGCAGATCCAATCATCCAATTGTTGTTAACTGGATGGATAGACAACCAGACGTGCAATAAATAAACACATACAGATCATATTAAAACAGACTTCATATGATAGACAACCAGCTCAGAATTTCTAGTCATGGCAATGTTTATGTCATCCATCCACTGGGCCTAACTTGAGGTACAAAATTACTGTTTTTGAAGTCGGACAAAGTGTAGACAATCATTTTGAGAAGTCTATAACTCCTCCTAATTGACTCAATCTAAAATATGAAATATGAGTATATAACTCTTTGGAAGCATAAGCAAATTAACTACAATTCTCTAATACATTGTATCACGATATTCAGAATGTAAGAGCCCAAATAATCGATCTTATCTATACTGTACAGTTTCTGCAGAGCCAACAAAACTTGTATATTAGCAAATAACCTGTTTCCAGTAGTGATTGCACGATCTACGTTTAGTTGCTTTTCTTGCACATTCTCTGTCTGGCACTACCCCAACACCTGCATCATAGTGACTGACTAGTGATCAGACTGAGATCAATAGGTCATGTCTGTTTGATGTTCTGTAAAGTAACCAGCTGCTGTCGAGAAGTCTCATTGCCTGAAATCCTAAAAAATAAGAACAATCATAAATAATATGATGCTAAAGTAGTATAACAGAGTCTATTCCCTTATATCTAAGGGGGCAGTCCTATCTCTGAAATCACAGGTATAGTTTTCTTTTTTGCGAAAGAACATGTATGGTTTTCATAGATCATAGATGCCACATCATCATCAAGTCACTGCACCAAGAAACTTCATCGTGCAATGCCTAGTTCCTTCAGTAGAGGTCTAGTAATAATTTTGTTGCCATTCTCCTTCGACACACCTTCTCGTTCCCCTATCCACTTCTCCATTCACCGTCCTCTTGGTTTCCTCTCTCCCGACTCCACGACGAGAGGGCTGCTATATTTTTTTGTGGGCAACTTTGATCCATGAGAATATTTTTAGTTTCTAAGATTTACTTAAAAAGGGTACAGTCAAAGACTGAGTTTGACACTCGCACTGCACTCTATAAAAATGAACAAAAGGGAGTACACATTTCATAATAAACTTTTATAACTAAACTCAAGCAAAACACATATACACCCACGACGGGAAGTACATATATATTAACATAATAATTAACAGAAAAACTAACATCAGTAGTAATCATATATATGATCTTGCCATACACCGTACCCTATTATTAGAAACTTACGGGCAATAATATTTTGTCACCCATGGAGGTTCTTGAAGATGAGAGGCATCCCACATTTGGGTGTCAAGGAGACAACATACTTTGGCTTGTGAACGTACGTCGGGGAGAGGGAGAAGGTGAACTTCCTGAGGATGACCGCCATGACGATCTGTGCTTCTATGATGCCGAAGCTCTTGCCGGTGCAGGCTCTCGGGCCTAGCGAGAAAGACAGCAGCGCGTGTGGGTCCGTGGCGGCTCTGGCGACGCCATTGCTGAACCTCAAGGGGTTGAACTCGTCGGCGTCGGAGCCCCACACCTCCCTGTCCCGCTGCAGCAGGCCTATGGGGATCGATATCACGGTCCCCTGGGGCACCTCGATGCCCCTGAGCACGGCGTCCGAGGCGGTCGTCCGTTGTATGTACACGATCGGCGGGTAGAGCCTCAGTGTCTCCAGCAGAACCATGTGAAGCTGCACGCATACGCATGCACGTCATCTTGTAGAAGTGAATGCAGAATGCATGCTTTTATTTGTCGTCATGAGAGTGGAGAGCTGCGTGATTGTCGGTACGTACCAACTTGAGTCTGGAGAGGGTGTCGGAGTTGAGAACGTCGCCGTCGCCGCCGCGGAACTCGCGGAGGACCTCCTCCCTGACCTGGTCCTGCCACTGCGGGTGCGTGCTGAGCAGGAACATGGTCCACACGAGGAGGGTGGCGGTGGTCTCCTGCCCGGCGCCGAAGAAGGTCTTGCACTCGTCGATCACCTCTCCGGTGGTCAGCGTCGTCGTCGTCCCTTCGTCGTCGCTCCCAGCTTGCCGTCCCGGCGACCATGCCTCCAGCAGGAGCCCGAGCAGGTCGTCGCCATAGCCGCCACCGCCACGGCCGCCGCCGCAGTTGGCGGCGGCCACCCGCGTCGCCATCATCGCCGTGATCTTGGTCCTCAACAGCTTGTCCAGACGTCGCACCGTTAGGTTGCGCCGAGTCGGCAGATGCCTGGAAAAGAGGGGGAAATTATTGGAACCGGAACCAAAGTTGTTTGTCGAAAAATGCCATGAGCTTGCATTGTTATTGTTATTTGTTATTACCAGAGTATGGGGCCATCCAACATGGCCTTGGCGCCCATCTTCTGCATCTGGTGCATCAAGACGAGGACCTCGCCGGCTTCCTGGTGGCTGGTGCCGAAAGCGGCGCGGCCGATGATTTCTGCGGTCAGGTCGCAGATGGCGCGGTCCACTTGTATCTCCGCTCCTTGACGAGCACCGCTGTGCAGTAGCTGCTCACACCATCGCTGCGCCATCTGCTCCGTTGCTTCTGCCGTCACCGCCGACATGCTCTGAACTCGACCAAAGTCAGTTGCTAAATCTGCCTATATATATATGAAAATTAATATATACACATATGGTGCATGTGCGTAATCTTGTGAACGATGACGACGGCGACCTTGATCCTCTCGTGGTTGAAAGCTGGAAGGACAACTTTCCTGTGCCGTTTCCAGTCGTCGCCGTTTGCTAGTATGAGCCCGTTGCCCAACAGGACTTTGAAGACGGGGATCATGAAGTCCTTGGCAAACAGGCCCGTCCTGTCTGTAAGCACTTCCTTAATCAGCTCTAAATCAACTGAGAAGATCGCAGGGGTTGGCCCGATCCAGTACAGGAATGTCCTCCCTGATTGACCAAATGAAAGAAATAATCTCATGATGAGGACCTTTTTTAGTTCAAACTTCAAAGCATGCATGCATGTGCGTTCGCAATGTACGTATCTTAGGAGATCCTTTTTTCTTTTTTTGTTGAGAAAACGTATCTTAGGAGATCTGTAAATATAGAGTTTCATTAGGCCCAAGTTCTGGTTGATGCCATGCATGGCCACGCTGGTCCTGCTGTGCGTGTTGCTTGGCTGACCCATACGGTTCCTGGTGGACCTTCTCAGGATTACTGCTGGGCCGGTGATGGAAATATACTGGGCCCGAGAATGTCTGCACTCTACAAGATGCTGGCCCGCGTAGTGACAGTGGTTTGGGTAGTGTATACTGTATAGTTCAGAGCCGGCTCTTTGCTTTGGTTGAAGAAGTTTATCTCAGCTACTAGTAACTCCTGTTTACATTACGGGCCCTCGTCGTAGAAACACAGAATTGAGCTTATGAAGAAACTAGGGATCACAAATGAGAGGATGCGGAGGCCTTTTTTGCAAAGTATATTTACACACGCATTTCCCTTTGCCATTCTCAATCTCATCATCAAAAGTGCGCGGCCATCCGTTTGGACGAATATATAGGTATTGTTGCTTTTTAATAAAATATCGTATACACATTCACGCACAAAAAGCATGCCTCCATTCTGCTCCGTTTCAAATTATAAAACGTTTTGACATTTCTAAATCTCTCTATGGGAATCCTGCTACCAAAAGCGAGGTTCGTGGATCGGTCCACGTCACCCGATAACCCGATAGCCGTTGGATCGAGGGCTCCTGCGATCTGGTCCGTTCGATACGGGTCCATTCGGGTCTCGCACCCGTTTAAACATCGACCGGATTGAACTTCGTCTATTTGATGGGGGCTTATTTATAGCCCCGCTCGCCGCTGCGCGCCATAGCTACACCGCACATTTTCATTGACATAGCAACCTTATGACCGGAGAGCCCTCCCACTCATCTACATCAGGATTCATCATCATAGTGAGATTGGGAGTGAATCCCTCGCATTGCCAAGGCTAGCGGCTAGAGCCATGGCACCGCCCGCTGGTTGAGGAAGCAGTCCGCCCTTGCCAGGGGTCTGAGGCCACCAGACTTTGATCATGCAAAGCAAGGAGCTGAGTGGAAGAGGTGATTGCTATCAACACCAATGTTCTAAATAGCGGGATTTAGCCCCCTCTATAGCGCTATTTAGCCTTTTGGGAGCTCAATTGCTTGTGGCTTAAGCTACACCACTTTTGATGCTTAATGGAATTTGCCGCTAATAGATGCTAATAATGAAGTGATGAAATAAGTGAGTGAAATGAAATGGAGGCACCTTTAGCGCGCTTATCAAAGGCAGGCAAGAGCATGGGCTTTAAAATCACCTTGTGGCCCAAATCACACGAGGTGATTGGTCAAATAGAGTCAATCACGCATTGGAGACTAGTAACCATTCATCTCACCACCGGTACCACCCATTTGTCTCTGTTTTTCAGACGGTGGCGGCTGTTGACAAGCTTTAGTCATAGCTAGTGTGAGAGTTGGTGTGCATTGGTCTCGACATGAGAGTTGCTTGGCCGGCGGTGGCTTTAGTTAGCCTTTGATGGCGGGCTTCTTCTCGGCTCTCGACGAGTCAGTTCTTTTGTGTGAATTGACACTATCTAAACTAGAATTGTGGTAGGTGGCTTGTATTTTTTTGAGTAGGCTAGCGCAACACTAGCCGCCTCATAATTGTCTAACCATTTGGTTAAGTGCCGTCTTAGGCGCGGTTAGCTAAGGACACCCCCTCAAGCCATGGGGACCTTGGTGACCATGTCCCAACTAGAGCAGACTGGCAAGTTCCTTCCTTTCCTGCTTAAACGCTTTACTAATTTGCTACTGTTTTTGTTGAATGGTTTACTCTTTACTGTAAATAAATTGACAATTATTCCATGAAGCAAGTAGAGTATCATATCTATTCCAGGTTGGTGCAGTAAGCTAACATTTTTATCTCATATTAATTTTTGTTGCTTAGGTGGTACTACATTTGAATCAGTAGAATAATCAGCTTCATGCAGCAACATGGTGGCTGAATCATGGCTCAATTACACCTAATTTGAGGCTATTGGTGGTAAAGATTCTAAGTTTGACATGTAGCTTCTCTAGTTGTGAGAGGAGTTGTTCAGTATTTGAATAGGTAATAAAAATAATTGTACTTCCACAACTCACCTACATGAATATATTTTTGCATCATTATTCATTCCTTGAATTTTATTCATCTAAACAAAACTAGGTGCACACAAAAAAAACACAACATATTACTTCATGAGAGGATGAGAGACCTTGTATTTGTCAAATTTAACTCCAAACTAAGGCATAAGAAAGAGAAAGAGTAGAGATCCTATAGAGAAGGAAATAAATGATGTGCTGGAGGATGACAACAATGAGTTCATTATTGGATTAGAACCAAATACAAATCAAAGTCAAGAAGATCAGAGATGTGTAGAAACAGCAGCAAAAGCACAAGGAGCATCACAGGGAGCATCAACATCACAAGCAAAGACCAAAAGGAAAAGGCATGTGCGCCCTAGGAAGAAATTCAGGACCGTGGCATCTCTGACAAGCCTCGGTCTGTAGCCTCTACTTTTGAATCAGAGGAAAATCAAGATGCTATAGAATCTATTGATACTGAAGATGATTAGATGAGTACAACAAACTATTTAGATGCTGAAATGCATGTGTGATGTACTGATATGTATCAGACTATGGCCTATGCCTCCATGCCTTATGTTTGTTTGTCTATCTGTCAACTGTCATTGTTTAGTTGGTATGCAGTGTAATGTCTGTCAACCTTGTTTGAACTTTGAACTCATGTGTGTATGTGTCTATGTGATGTATCATGTATGAACTATGAAGCTGTGATCTGATGTGTTAGTAAGACTTTGAACTATATATCCCTAGTTATTTGATAATTGATATTTGTAATGTCTTTATCTTCTATATTTATTTTGTGTAAAATTACCTGATTTTTGATATATTTTTTTGCTCAGCCGCTAAATGGCTTAGCCCGCCATTTAGCCCGCTATAGCCTTTCTTAGTCTTTGGGAGAGACAGCCGCTAAAGGGCTTAGCCCAATATTTAAAACATTGATCAACACGAGCGTCACGCGGGCCTTGGTCGCCGGCTCGCCACCTTGCTGCTCACGGGCAGTGCAGCCACTGACGTGGCCAGCCGGCCACGGACCACCTTCGCTCGAGCTGCAGCCACCCCCTGGTGCGCGTGGGCCGGGCGAAGTCCGCCTCCATCCCCTTGCCGTCCTCCCAACCCCAAGTGCATCCTCAGACGGAGCACGAGCCAGTCCCATGTGCAGTGCTCTCACTGGTCACCACTCCGACGGCCTTTGTGTGTCCTGCCAGCATGGTCAGTTGCTTCGTCCCGTCAGCTGAACTGCTGAAAGCTATGCCTTTCGTCTGTCACTCACTTCTACTCCATTTCGTGCATATCGTTGTTCTCCATCCCAGGTAGCCTCTCCTTCCAGCTAAAATTCTGCCGAATTTTTGCCACCAAATGTCATGATTGGTAGCCTGTATGCCCACGCCCACACCACTCTCTCTGGTTGGCACAATACAACATCAGAGAGCTAGCTTCAATAGATGGTGCTCTCAAAGAAGACATGCATGGCTGCATCAACGAATTGCAGGAGATCGCCACATTATGGAGCATCGCATTGGGGAGGAACGCCAAATGATGGTCAACTCAAAGGACGCTTTTCATGCCTGCAACGTATTCGACAAAATGTCCATAACCTAACACAATAAGCTACAGAGCCGTGTCAATATAATACATGATGAATTATGATGATAAATTATCAGACCCATATTTATATTTTTAAGGACGCTATAAACTTGGATAACACAATTTTTTGGAGTTTCAGTGGCATCGATGTCTGAAATACATGCCCTTTTTTATTGTAATAATGCTTCTGCTTATTATAAGAAATAGGGTAGACTAAATACAACTATGCCTTGCTATGCCCTTGTTCATCTGAGGTTACTCTACGTGTTAGCTGTGTATAATTTTTTACATATTCATGAACAAAAATGTTGTGAACAAGAAGCTGATGTGAAACCGACAAGAGTTGTAATCTATGTTTTTCTTAGTTATATAGCACCTTTTGAGAAGGCAAGTCTTCTATTCTTAGCTGTTTTTTTCAAGCTAAACTATAGTACTGAATCTAAATTGATAATAAAATATGATTTGTTCTACCACAGACACAGCAAGGTATATTTTGCACAGCCCCGAAGTGGCATACTGATTTTGACTCAGACCAATAGCCTAAAGCATCTGAAAGGCCATGAAGTACTACATAAATACATCTTAAGTATAGCCTATACCTTCACTCAGTTGGCTTTCCCTTAGCTTTTTTTTGTCATGCTGATCTATGTTTCCTCCATAAGTTATGTTCCTAGAATTGTTTTAGCAATAAAAAAATTGTACTTCATTCATTACTAAAGAAATTTATGCATGTCAGACCATCATTGGATCCATGATCATGGTGTGTCCGCTGACCAAGCTCTCGATCCCAGTATTCTCTCTAGGCTCCTAGACTAAAAATTCATTGCAATGAACAAACTATAAAAGTTCACTCGAGTGAATATTTTTATCTACTTCATTGCTCTCACATTATGAGACTTCCATTGTGGTATTTCTGCCTTTTGGATCCGAACTGTTTTAAATTTTGGTCTGGTACACTTCAGTATACGTTTCTTCATACCTTCTCAGCATTGCTCTAGAAAACTATCCAGGTAAAATTTTTCATCAATGTCTCAACTACGATACGAAAAATAGAATCATCACAAGGTTTTGCCTTCTCAGTATACTAAAGAGGGAGATAACAATTTCATGATGCATATATCCTCCGCTGGCCTCCTCCATGGAGGGCGCGGCAAAGCCGCGCTTGAGTTTCTAGTACGTAACTTTTGTTACGCACTTAGATATACATTATGTCTGTGTATAGAGGCTGGAATACGTTTTACTACTCGATCCTTACCCAAAGTAAACCCACACTATCATAAATATATACGGAGGAGTGTTATTAGAGTTTACCATACTCTACGACCCATCTGTGGAACGGTGGCAGCAAGATGGGCATGATGTCATGGCAACCGACGTCCAGGTGCGGAACCCTTATCCGGCTGGCACGCGCCAGCCGCTTCACCTCCGGCAAGGACCCGGCCAGGAAACGGTAGGGTGGCCCCCGGATGCCCTGCCTCGCGAACGACCGCGCCACGGCCCGCGGTTGCCACACGAGGCGCCGCCACAGCGCGAGCAGCAGCGCCAAGAGTACTGCAGCCAGCAGCAGGGGCGGCGGCGCCCACGGCCACCGGTCGGCCTCCATATATGCCACAACCGCAAGGCGGGCTATTCATTCATCAGCTCGATCGATCTCGTATGCATGCGTAGTCGTCCTCTCCTAGCTCTAGTTGTACGTTGGCGTCCTCATGAGAATTGCAGGGCCGCCCACACGTTCGCCGTGATCGATGGCTTCTCTTGCAGAAACTCTCCGTCTACTAGCCGGTTGTTGCTTGTGTGTGTGGAGCGCTTCTTCGGTGATGTACGCGCGCGCATATCGTGTGATGTGACAAGTTTGAGACTCGCTACATACACTTGTGTGTTAGCGTTTTTGCTAACTCGTCATTTAGTACTAGGTGAGTGTCATTGCGTTGAAAAAAAAATCTAGTGGATCGGCGCCAAATTGCTAAAGTAGTATAACAGAGTCTATTCCCTTATATCTAAGGGGGCAGTCCTATCTCTGAAATCACAGGTATAGTTTTCTTTTTTGCGAAAGAAAAGGTATGGTTTTCATATATGCCACATCATCATCAAGTCACTGCACCAAGAAACTTCATCGTGCAATGCCTAGTTCCTTCAGTAGAGGTCTAGTAATAATTTTGTTGCCATTCTCCTTCGACACACCTCTGTTCCCCTATCCACTTCTCCCTTCACCGTCCTCTTGGTTTCTTCTCTCCCGACTCCACGACGAGAGGGCTGCTATTTTTTTTTGTGGGCAACTTTGATCCATGAGAATATTTTTAGTTTCTAAGATTTACTTCAAAAGGGTGCATGGGAGGGGGGCATATGTTGGCGACTAAAATTAGTAAGGGAAATCAGCTTAATCGATTTCAAAGGGTGTCAAATCATAATTTTGACTTCACCATTTTGTAACCTTTGATAAGATGGTAAAAAAACATTTGTGGGACATCCATTTTGGAATTCGGATGAGGTATTTATTGTAATACCCTTGCCCATTCTAAGCATGTATTAGTTGTGTTGTTACCCCATGTGGCATGTGTGGTTGTGGTTGGTGGATTTAGTACCATCTTGGAAATTTAGGAGTGTAAGGGTCAGCTTATAATCCTTGTCATTCTAAACGTAGCACATTCGGGTTAACCTTTTTACACGAAGCGAGAACGATAGTGTAAGACAGGTGATACGTGTATGTAGGCCCATTCCACATGTGGAGCCAGGCCATATAAGCAGATTTTGGACGCATGGTCTTGCAGTTATGGCCATTAGAAGATCCAAGCTTGTAGAAACCAGCTTAGCTTGTTTGGAAGACTAATCTTAGTTAAAAGTTAGATTTTACATTGGAATTGGAATCTGAGTTAAAAGTTAGATTTTACATTGGAATTGGAATCTGAGTTAAAAGTTAGATTTTTACACTGGAAATTGGAATCCAGCTTAGCTTGCGCTTAGCTTGTTTGGCAGACATATGAGTTAAAAGTTAGATTTTTACACTGGGATTGTAAAGAGTTTCAACTCTATTTTAAGCCAAGAGACTTCCACACAAGGTAAATATGTAGGTCTAAGAGCAATTGATACACACCCAATCAAATTAAAACAATCTATTTCTTCTCTTTTTTGTCTTGTTTTTTCCTTATCCTTGTGTTGCCAAACCCTACTCGATGTACATATTTTGATTTTACGATTAGAGGTGTCGTCCTATACTTGCTGCTTGTAGGGCAATCCAATGATGCCCATGCCCTAATAATAGGTTCCCTCTCATCTGAGAGTTTCAACGATTTTTTTACTTAGAATCTAAGTCATTCATCATGAAATATGTGTGATAGATATTCGTTATTAGTTACTTGGTTTAGTCATGAATCGTTCACCATGAAAGCATGATAATTACCCTCTCTTAGGCGATACCCGTAAGTTCTTGCTTGACCAATTTCTACATATTTGTAGCGAGTTGACCCGACCGGGATCCACACAAGCTAGTGGTTTGGTGTTTGACCAAACTCTGCGTGAACTGACGCCCTTAGACAGTAGACACAAGAGAAGAAATGTCATTGTGTTTCAGCTCTACGACTCATGTATCAATGTCTCTTTTTTTTCTTGTTAACAATATATGTCTTATATCTTCTAGTGAGGATATGAGCTACCTTAGTTGGTCGAGAATGTGGATCAGATCATCTAGGTAAGTCCTCTTACCTCAATGGAGCGAATTTAGGTGCCTATTTTCTCCTTAATATAAAATGCCATCTAGATCTTGTTTTTTTGTCTTATCTTCTAATGGGATTTTGGTAACCATTTTTCATGTTTTAAAGGCCCTATGACCAATAAATCATGATGCCTGGAGTAAATTACATTGTTGGTCCCTAAACTAGCACACAATTCTCATCTAGGTCCTCAAACTATGAAATTGTATATATAAGTCCATAAACTAGTTAAGTATACCATCTCGGCCCAAAACAGCTACGTCAAAGTCCATTAGCTGACGTCACGATCCAGCATGAAACTGGTGTGGGTTCGTAGCTCATAATTACAGGAATGGACCCTAAATTATTGTGTGATTCCCACCTAGGTCTCAAACTATAAATTTACTCATCTGGGTCCCACTAATGGAGAAATGACTTTCGGTTCACACTTTTAATCTCGGTTGTGTTGGGATCCGGGACTAATGTGAGTATTAGTCCCGGGTCTAAATTTTACAGGCACCAAAGGCCCTTTTATCCCGGTTGGTAACACCAACTGGGACTAAAAGTCACCATTTACCAATCCGGATTAAATGTCCTTCAACCTGCCCCCGTTGGTAACACCAACCGGACTAAAGGATGACCTTTTAGTCCCGGTTAGTGTCATAAACCCATAATTAAAGGTCTCCCACCCAGGATTAAAGGTTCCCCACGGGTGAAATCAAAAGAAGAGCATCCAGGACTTTGTCAGATGTGGTGTGCAGTTGAGTTGGTAAGGAAGCTACGCACGAGGGAAATGATCATGGGTTCGAATCTCACGCATTGCAAGAGCGGTCTCCCAGAATTTAAACTATTTTTTTAGTTCCAAGGATGGTCTTTAGTTCTGGTTGGGAATTAAACCGGGACTAAAACCAATTCCCAACCGGGATTGAATCCCACCTGCGTACTAGTGTCCCTAATCTAATCTATCAAAGTACTACGGTCCCAGTCCAAAGCAACCTCTTAACAGCAGAATTGTAACGTGCCATTTATCACACACTAGTCATATATTCATTTTCACACACAAGAACGAGCTTTTACAATCTTTCTCAGCCATCCACATTCCTGACGATGAGAGGCATCCCAAGCTTGGGTGTCAAGGAAAGGAGATACTTGGGCTTGTGAACATACTCTGGGGAGAGGGAGAAGGAGAACCTCCTGAGGATCATCGCCATGACAACCTGTACTTCTACGATGCCGAAGCTCTGTCCAGTGCACACTCTCGGGCCCAGGGAGAAAGCCAGCAGCCCCTTGGGATCCTTAGCGGCCTTTGTGAGGCCATGCTCGAACCTCATGGGGTTGAACTCGTCGGCGTCGGGGCCCCAGACCTGCTTGTCCCGGTGCAGCATGGCGATGGGGATCGAGATGACGGTGCCCTGGGGCACCTTGATGCCTCCAAGGACGGCGTCCGATGCAGCTCTCCGCTGTATGTACACGATGGGAGGGTAGAGGCGCGACGTCTCCAGCAACACCACGTATAGCTGCAAGCATGCATGGGCCATGGGTGAGTGTTTGTTTACATATGGTGCAGTGCAGCACAAAGTTTTAAATATCTCCGGCTATAGCTTCAGCGCAACCCTAGCTCCCTCTCGCTCCCTCTCTCTCTCTCGGTCTTCTGCGGCGCAGAAAAGGAGGCGGCACTTCGATGGCGTCGTTTGCGCTTCGTCGGCGGCGGCGGCGGTGAGAGGGCCCCAAGCGGCGCGGCCCCCTGTCCAACTCTAAGGTGCCACCCCCAAGCGGCGCAGCAAGTCGAAGCTTCAAGCGGCGCGGCAAGGCGGAGATCCAAGTGGCAGCGGCAACGGCGAGGGGCCCCAAGCGGCGGCGAGGGGCCCAAGCGACGGTGTTGGCGGTGAGAGGGCCCAAGCGGCGCAGCCCTCTGTGCAACTCCAGGTGCCCCCCCCCCCCCCAAGCGGCGCAGCGAGCCGGAGCTTCAAGCGGCGCAGCCAGGCGGAGATCAAGCGACGGCGGCGACGGCGAGGGGGCCCAAGCCACGCGGCCGGCCGAAAATCCTCTTCCCCAACCCTAAGTAGCTTCCTCTTCGGTTCATCTTCAGTTCTTTGGTTCATCTTCAGTGGCAGCGGCTTCATCTTCAGTTTTATTTCTTTTTTTTTGCAAAAACAACTAAATGACATAGCTGCAGCTATCTCCCGCTATAGCTGCGCTTAGCTGTTCGGAAGGCCAGCAGCTAAGAGGCGTAGCCGGCGATTTAAAACATTGGTGCAGCAGCATGCTCATCGCATTGGTTACCAGCTTGAGCTTGGCGAGAACATCGGCGTGGGGGACCTCGCCGTCGCCGTCGCCGGTGGAGAATTCCCGGACAACCTCCTCCCTGACTTTGCGCTGCCACTCCGGGTGCACGGCGAGCAGGAACATGGCCCAGACGAGGAGGGTGGCCGTGGTCTCCTGCCCCGCGGCGAAGAAGGTCTTGCACTCGTCGATCACCTCGTCGGTTGTCAGCGTCTCGCCGTTGTTGCCATGCTGCTGCTGCTGCGGTGTCCACGCCTCTAGCAACAGCCCGAGTAGGGTCCCCCGCCGCCACTGCCGCGCCCACCACACTTGGCTCCGTGGGCGGCCAGCCGCGCCTGCATGATGGACATGATCTTGCTTCTCAGCTGTTTGTTCAGACGCCGGACGTGCAGGTTACGCCGAGTTGGCAGATACCTAAACAAACAAAACAAAATTACTCGGTTGTTGGTGCTGCATGCACAAGTGAATACAGAATAGTAGTAGCACCAGCACCAGGTGAGTGTACCAGAGTATTGGAGCATCCAGCGTTGCCGCAGTGGCGAGCTTCTGCATCTCCCGCATCAAGACGATGACCTCCTCGACCTCCCGGTGGCTCGTGCCAAAGGCGACGCGGCCGTTGACCTTGGCAGTCAGG